AGTGTGCATTTCACTCCTGGTGCTATTTCTCAACATTATTAAAGTCTACCCTTTAGGCTGTCTAATATAATCACTTACAGATTGTTTCGCAAATGCAACTTCCAATTTTATGGTATCCGCTCAACTTTATAAATAAATACTTCTTTAGAAACCCATTAAAGATACTGTTTAAAGCTAAGTGACTAAAATGCATATTGGATGATGAAGCATATAAGGAAAAGTTTTCACTGACATTCCTTATGAACACCGAAATTTCTTGCTGGCAGCTTTGCTAAAGATACGATTTTAAAACATTTTTTAATGAAGCACAGTGATTCTGGTCCATTTCTTAAAATCCAAGATCAGGGTATCTCTTTACTTGACTCCAGACAGAAAGAGGCAGATAAGAGATATTAATGCTTTCGTATACAGAATTCCAAGTGGCTTAACTACGAAAGACTGGACACTCTAAGATATTTGGACCGTTAAGGGCATTATTATACTTTGTATATTCGCCAATCCTTATACAGAACAAGCTCAATAGTGGACATATTGTCCAGCTTCGGATAAAAATAATTAGATATAACTGTTATTAGAAGTTAGCACAATAAAGTTAATTGTAGATACTCGATTAAATTAAAGGGATTACTAATGAAAAAAACATTGCACCAAAGACCTTAGGAGCAAAAGAGTCTTACACAATAAGTGTATCCTCCGGTAAGATCAAACTGAAACCGGAACCTTCATTTTGATCATATTCTCCAGAAAAAATGCCCGGAAACAGCCCTCCATCCTCCGTTGTGATGGAAGGTGTAGAATTGACTATGGAACTCCAGGCCTTCTTAAAACTATTATCAAGATTCTGTTCAGCACTGATAGCCTTTCGAGCCCGAATCAAGCCACTCCCAATACGAGAAATAGGCGGTTTGAGATTGTGCAAAGCTCTAGTCAATTCGGCCGAACTGTAGCACGAACTCAGATGTTGCCGCAAATCAAAGCTGCCCACGAACCAACCGGCGGAGGAGGCGACCATATCGTCCAGAAAATGATCTGCCACGGAAGGTCGTGTTGAAGTGTTCAGATTGGCTGGCGAATCGAGACGAGACATCTTAAATGCTGTCTCTATGCGAGTCAGCAGAGACAGTGAAGACTGACCGACCTTTTGGCAGCCAAGATGCCAAACAAGTGCAAACCACTTGGGATAACTGGAGTTAAGCGGTCGTGTGAAGTCTAGCAGACGCAATTGGTAAAGAGAAGTGTAGTGGGGAGACCTGAGATCAAAGATTGTGCTCAGCTGATTCGGACCCTCGGCAAGTAGGGTTAAATATCTAAAAGCAGGATAGGGAGTAGATACATAATAAATATATACATGCCTATCTTCAAAAAAAAATTATATTTAGCCAATATTAGTTGTAATTTATCTATATTGTGTGAAAAACATTTGAAATTCTCTGCTAAATTAGTATTGATAGGAAAAGCTACAGAAAAATTATAATTAATATTGTCAAAGCGTGTTGTAATATCAAGTTTAATGGCAATAAGACGGAAGGAAAATCAAGTATTGATATCATCATCTATTGAAGTAAGTAAATATTAGGGTGTAAAACCATCTTTTAATAAAGTCCACAATATGGAAATCAGGAAGACAGAAAACAGAAACATTAAGAAAAATGTACGATGATTGTGTAATCATAGATGCTAGGAACGTCAATATTCTGCGATAAACACTTTCTAAGAAACAAAGACTATTCCCTCCTTAATGATATTGAACATCAGGAAAACAAGAGTGCACACTCGCAAATGTATTTAATACAATGCTAAACGCAGATTTGCGGCCTCTATTTTTAGAACAAAATTTGGGTTTCGAGTAATCTCTTGGTTTATGATTGCTGGGGTCAGCAACAACGCTCCAGTAAAGTCAATCGACAACTGGTCAAGGGGAATCCGCCGTTATCTTCTGGTAGGATCGAGTTTCGAAGCTTTCACCAACTCGAAATGCAACTAAGCTCGGCAATATTTATTTTTCGTTGATAAGTTGTTTTTGAGACTACCAATAGATCCTATATCTTACGTTAATTTACCCAATTTCGTAAAAGATGATAAAGGACTGGTATGAGTAAGCCATAAATGTCCGTTTCATTTCATATAGCCCTGCTTTCCAAATGGTATATTTATCCAGGATGGAATGCCGTTTTTAACCTCGTCAATCT